ACACAAGGAAGGCAAAGCTTAATGTTTTTCAAGCATGACAAGCAGGGGCAAAGACAAAGTCAGTGGGTAGGCTGTATGCCAGAGGACAGGGAGTTAATAGCAAAATGGCTATTTCAACTGGTACTTCATTTAACCCTGCTTTTAGCTTCCACAGATTGATTCAAATGCTTTGATCTCCTGACCTTGACCATTAACCTTCTGCAACTTGCTAGCGGGAGACTGGGATCACAAAAGAAAAGTATTTGCATTACCAACATGTGAGAGAGTACAAATGTTCTTGATCACTGAATAGAGTCACACATACTTCCAGAACCAGTGTGATGCATAAGATCAGACTAGTAATGCAGCTCTCTATTCATATTCACTCCCTGAAATGCTGGGTGAAAACTTTTGCCTTTGCCCCCACTTGGGGAGGGAAGAAACCAAAGACTATGTGCACTAGCGCTACAGAAGTTGTGCTAGCGGAAGCACATGCTGTGCAGCTTCAATGGCGCCTGCTAGCACCATGGGCTTTCTGGATTAAATTCTGTCTGTGTGTGAAAAGGGAAAACAGATGGGATTTTTCAAAGTGACTAACAGAGGCAGGAGGCAATGCTTCTTCTGCACTGAAGTCTTACCTTAAATGAGCGCCATTTAGGACATTAATTAATGTCCAAAATGTCTATTAATGCTGCATCATGTAATGCACAGGGTACAATATAAATAGCACCGCATATTTTGCAAAGGCTCTATGACATGGTCTCCTGTCCTTCCCGTCAGGAGGCCCACTTCACTCACGTATAGAGTTGGCAGCCATATCGACTGTGCTTAGTGTTCCTTGTTGATGTTTGCTGCCTTTTTCCCCTCATCCAGTTGTGCACCTAGGTCATTGTAGACCTAACTTAATACTTTTATAGGGTTAGGGGAGGGCTTAGACGACCATCTTAGTTCTCTACCCCCATATCATCATTACATGCTGTACAGCTACTTCCACTTTCCTCAAGTGCCAGAGAGAAAAACACTGTCTACCAGTCCTACTTAAAAACAAACAAGCAAACCCCCATTGAAGATACGTATCTCTGCATTCTAAACCCACTCAAATGATCGCAACATCACAACTACAGGAAGCAGAATTTGCTTCTCCTGCCCTAATGCCAAACACCCTTGAATGGGAATCAGCACCATTTTGTCATAGAAAATGATATTATATTTTAAACATAATGAATAAAACAAGCACCCGTAATATCTATGTCCCCTGCTGCCTGGCACCAGACTATTAAAATGTTAGGGTAAATATTAGGTTTGAAGATATCTGTTAACATATTTAATCTTATTTTAAAATGATTTGAAGCAAAGGCGTTAGAATGTTTTAAAATACAAAGGAAGGATGCTTCAGCCACCAACAACCACCTCAGTGGGCTGGCATGCTCATGCCCAGCCAGGTGCTGCGCCGCTCTTACCTGTCCTGATCACCTGCCACTCACTGGGTGGCCCTTCACCCACTCCCAGCCTCATGGTTTGAGACTCTGGCCCTCAGACACAGCCTTTGTTGTGCCTCGGCCTTCACCTTCTAAGCTATAAATAAAAGCCGCATTTGCCAATGAGTTTTGTGAATTCACATCCTTATACTTCATGAATTCCAGACAGGAACCATTTCTTTTCAGAAGCTGCAACCTGCCTTAGAGGGGTTTTGTATAGTTTGAAGGTGGGCGGGTGGGCATAATTCTTCTTGGACTAACAAAAAAATTTGCCAGCAGCCACCTGATGCAGAATCAATTTGTATACTCAATCAGGTACATTGAGGAAAATGCATTTGGAACACAACATAAATTGTTAGAGAACATAATAAAGGTGTCATTTCTTCTCTCCTTACTTCCCTAATTCCCTGCCCATCTGCACAGAGTCATTGTCACCAGCAGTGGAATAATATACCACAAAGTAATCCTGTAATGCCTCTGCATGAATGTCGCTTTCTGGGATAAAAAAACAGATAGCAATGAGGAATGTCAGCATGCATTTCCTGCTCCAATGTATTGTCGGTTTCCATACAGCAGATTAAAACAGGAAAAAATAATGCAGAGTGTATGACAGGCAAGGGGAGGATAATCCGTGCTGTGCCCTTGTATTCTATCCTAGCCTATGAATAGGTGTAATCTATTTTTAAAAAAATTAATTTCTCCACTGCCCAAAAGGATCTTAAGAAAGCCTGAATGCAGAGCCTGAATGCAGTGTCAGGCTTTCAAAGGGCTTGCAAGAGTCCTCAGTAGGACATAGAAAAAGAAGATCAACAGATCTTTAATTTCAGCTACAGCCTGTACAGCAGTCATCCTCAAAATATCCCGTAGGCATAATTTAGACTACAGCTCCAAACAGTGCTGACCATCGGCTACGCTGGATGGGCCTGAGAGAAATGAAGGCCAAAAAATCTCGAAGGCAAGAGACTGGGACAGGCTTCCCTGGGACTTAAAGCCCTAAAGCCCAAGCAAATGTGATATTAAGGTGGGGAAGGAAGCTAATCAGTCATAATTTATATGTGGAAACATTGCAGGGGACTAGCAGCACATTTCTGGTGCAGTTCAGGCTTCATGTTGAGAAATCCATTCCCCCTTGGCAGCAGATTCAAATCACTGTAATACACAATCTTTCTAATATGTAAAGTGAACAGTGACTGATCAAATAGTCTTCTATTTGGTGATTTGCTGCTCTTTTACATATTAGCCTACCCAGGAACTTCCATAAATCATGCTAACACTGAAAACAAGCCATATGAACAGCTTCTTAATGGTTTTGTGCTGTGGAGTCCATCTTGCTATGACTAAGCATGTTAAAGGAGATCTAGAACTGTTTCAAGGAGCCACATAGAATTTCTGGAACCAAAGTAAAAGATAATACAATCAGGTCACCAAAAGTATGTGTGAATGGAATAAATGATGTTTTTAAGAATTCATTAATCAAACTTGAATAGAAATTCACATTGACAAACAATCAATTGCAATGCTACACCTCTTGAGAATTTCCATCCAAACAAATTAATTTGCTTCAGTAAATCTGATTTTGTACATTTGCTTCAAAAACATTCAATTCAATCAGAGTCCTTATTTTTCTTGCTATGATGCATCCTACCAATCACACGGAGCCACACTGCAGTTGTGATCTGGGATTGCCTATTATTCTGTTCATTTCAAAGCATCTCCTAATGGCTTGATCAACCTTATTATAGCTAATCAAGTCAAGTGTAAATAAACTGGATCTAAAGGCATTTCTTCTCACTGGTACCACAGTTTGGGTTTGTTGATATGTACAAGAGCAAATAAACAGTTACTGGATTTGAAATGGAGATTTAGAAGCACTCAGCCCCACTGCAGCTTTTCCTGCTCCTGCAGTCCTCATCCCTTCAGATGCTTCATGGAAGATCTGGACACCCCACTGAATGGTGTAGGGAGCTGAAGGGAAAGGGGGGACTATGAAAATCTGTGTAATATTTCCAGCCTTTGAAGGGACTGCAATAGGGTGGACAGGCAAAGCTAGCTGGTGTCAGTGCCACTGTAAATCCGAAATCAGGATCTAACCTACACAATCTTTATTGGCATTTTGTGACATGTATATCCTGCTTTCTGATTAGGAGCCCATAGGATTACCAGTAAGTGAACTGAAGCTTCTGATCCTGGACACTTCTGAGAATCCAACACTGGGCAGCGGGAGTGAAAGAGGATGTTTATGTAGTCTATCTATTGTCCTCCGGGACAATTTTTGCTACAAGGTCTCTTGAGCTATATTGTGTTAATGGGATTCTGCTGGGTTGACAGCATTTCCCCTTGCTTCCTCTTCCTGTTCAGTGGAATGGTCTCTTTACTCCTCACCATTCTCTCTCTGAGGTCATGACACCAACCTCAGGAAGAGAGTCAACAGAGACCTTTCTGTAGGGGGTGAGAAAAGTAGCAGTGAATGTGGTGTGAAGCAAGACCCACAGCTGGATCTCTTCCTACAAAAGAGCAGAGCTCTGTTTCTGGTTTTGCAGGATAACTGCAGAATCTTCACACATCCCTACCTATCACCCCAGATTCTTTAAAAGGGTAATAGGTAGGGATGCATGAGGAATTTATTTTGGTGAGAGAATCCAATGGATCCGCAGATTCCGGTCCCTTTTATTGTAGCCATGAGACTAACTTCCTGGAGGGCATGCCAAGCATCTGCAAAGGTGCCTGTCAGGAATTGAACTCACATGGCATTTGCACAAGCAGCATGTGACTTGCATATGACTTGCAACTTTTGTCTGTGCTGCACTTGATCTGGAACAAGGTTGCTGGTTGCACAACTGGAGTTCTGCAAGCATTCATGAACTGGGCTGGAGAATCAGTTCACTTTCTAAGACTGGGCCAAGCATGAGAGGAAGTCTGCAAGCTGAAGAGGCATAGATTCTGGGGAATTTCATAACCTGGATGACCTGGATGCTTGGCACAATGAATTCTATGGTCTGAATAGAATTCCTGGCCTCGATTGGTTTTCCCCTTTGAAGCTACTATTGCCTGGACTTGGAACTTGTGGGCACTGGAACTTCCAAAAATTTTGACCTTCACATCCCATCAGCCTTGCATTGGCTATGTTGATTGGGACTGATATGAATTGGAGGCCCAAGCATCTGGATGGCTACAGGCTGCACAGAGCATTTTTGAGACTTTGGTTGATGTTTGTTGCTCTTCCATCCTACAAATCATATTTCAATAATTTCTGGCTTGATTCAATAATTTCTGGCTTGTCACTCTTCTATAGAGATTCTCAAGACATCCCATTCCCATATCATAGTTTTCTAGCTGTGCTGCCTCTTATATTACCAGATATCTATCTGCATATAGATATTGTATCACGATGCTCAGAACCCCATATGCAGGCATATCTCTTCATTGTTACTTTCACAGTAAAATCTACCCGTTCATCCATGCATGTATATATGTGTTCAACATATGCTTTCTATAAAAGGTTTCCTTAAAACGTAGAGACCAATAATAACAAAAAATTGTCACCTGCAGCCACTGTGACTGGTCGCTGTGTCCTGATGTCCAGGCATTCACTTTGCCTTGTTTGTCTAGTCGAGCCTTCCTAGGTTCCCATGTAAACATGTCCATGTTGAGTGTTCTGAAGATACTGGAAGCAGTAATCTGATAATCCTGTATATGTCCTGATTTCATTCCTAGGGGTTCAGAGCAACCTAAAGAAATAAAAGAAGGATTTTGACATGAAATACTAGGTTAATTCATAGAAACATAGAAACAGAGTGAGTCAGAAGGGGTCTCCCAGGCCATCCAGCCTGATCCCCAGCTCCAGCCGGCTCCGCTCATGACGTGTCTACCATGGGCATATGTAGCCTATCCTTGAACACCCTCACCGATGGGGCCTCAACCACCTCCCATGGAAGCCCATTCCACACCCTCAGAGTCCTAACAATCAGGAAGTGCTTCCTGACGTCTAAATTGAACCTTGGTTCCCTGAGCTTTGCTCCATTGGAGCATGTCCTGCCTTCCTCTGCAGGGGAGAACAGGTCTCTGTCCACCTCCATGTGACAGCCCCTCACATCATACATCAGTTCATACATCTATTGATATTCCTTTTGCAGCCATTTCACCATGATTCACATTTTTTTTACCATGATCTGACAGATGATCAAATGGTTTCTACATTACTGTGATTTTCATATCCTCATTAAACCTTCTTGCTGTTGACACATATTCCACCTACCCCTTGGAGCACTATGGAAAGCTGGGAGTTGTAGGCGCATCTATCTAAACAGGTGTAGGATTCTGCCCTAACACACACATACGAATTCCATTCCAATGGGACCACATTAAGTAGAACCAACATTAGCTACAACCTCATGTCTTCTACCCAAAAGTGCTCATCACAGTGAACAGACTTAAGAGCAATGAGAATGATCTAATCCATCTAAGAACTTTTACATTTGAGTCCAATGGGACAAATGCCTGTTCTGTATATTAAATGGTGTTTAACAGCTTGTTTCTGAAAACATGAAAAGCAATCCTGGATGCTTACCACTATTTTCATAACCCTTAAGAAGCTGCACGTGCCATGCATGGCTCTTGATCCCATGACATGTTGTCAGCAGAGGAGAGTGGCTCAATTAAAGGATCAAAGTGCAGAGAGGAGGTCTGCTTGTTTTCAGAAGGCCCCTCCCACAGGAGTGGGACCCAGGCATGCTCATAAGGAGTGTTCCTGGAGGTGAATACTGGACTGGTCCGATGAACCACTCTGCGCATGCTCAGAGTTTCTAAAGACCAAACCATACCATGGTGAAATAGCATGGTACCCGACTGACCAACAATGGTTAAAAAACCAGCCAATGTCACTGATGTCAGTGTGGCTCTCATAATTATTTATAGGATAGCATACCAGTAGATTTTGGAGGAGGGAACATAATTAAATGTTAATATGTTCTTCTGGCAATTTTTTTATTTTGAAAGTGACTGTATCTTTAGTCAGTTTTTTAACTGACAAGAAAGCATATAATATGTTAACATACCCTTTTTAAAAAATAAATATATCCTTTCTTCCTTATTTATACTTCATTTTATAATGTATCAGATGTTACAAATTCCAGTCTGTGGGGGTTGAGTGGGGTTGCATATGCTGGTGCTTTCTCCAACTTCTTTGAGCTTCTGGTTTTGAGTCTCTACCCCTGACCTTCCACATGAAGTCTCAGAACATTTGACTGAATGTGTTTTAAATGCTTCCAAAACAAGACATGACCTGTGTCTCTAGCAGATACAATGCTTTTCATTATTGCTCTAGAATAGGTGCTGGGCTCCTAATTTGGACTGAGGACTTAGAATGGGGGCTATAAAAGAAGTTGCCTACTCTAGAGTAAAATGAAAGGCAGGCACATCTGCTAGACATACTTCTAACGCAATTATTTTTGCTCTAAGTGTGTTCAGGCAGTTGTAGATTGATGCCACGTTAGACTCATAGCCAATGATAATCCTGCTTAGGAGTTGACCCAATGAAATGAATAGAAGGTAAGAGTAATATTGGATACAAGCCTCGTTTTTCTACATGTGCAATTTTATCAACATCTGCAACATGAATGTTGTAGGATAACATTTATACATTAATTTTGGCATTTGTGGATTTCCTTACTATTTTTCATTTATTATCCAAAAGTAATTTGGAATTCTAAACCATTATTTAATCCTGAATTTTGATAATACATAATTAAACACCACTAAATCATCCCTAACATTTGGGAAAAACATTTTAAACATCATAAAGAACATACAACAATAAGAAATAGATTTGCATGTTTAGCTTTCTACTTTAGGCAGAAGTTGGTGGCAATCCACTGAAATATCCCTGGATAAGAAGAATTAATTTCAGATTATACAAATAACAAACAGCCTATACTGCATAGGTAAGGTAACATAGAATTGCCAGCCAGTACTTGGTATTTAATTTTCTTATTAAATTGTACATCATTGGAAGGCATTCATTTTTGTCAACAAAAAGTAATTAACCCTCCTAATTATACACCAAATAAAAAATGTGTATGTTGTTTAGCTTTGTGTCAGGTTATTTTGATATATTATCACCACTTTAACAAAGAAGTTATTTTCTAGTTTACCTACACCACTGTGCTGTCTTCAAAAGACTCTTCTCTCAGACCATCTGCTGTTTGTATTCTGTTAGAAGTTACTTTTCAGCAAGAGTGAGAGAATTATAGATACTAAAGCAAAAGAGAAGACCATGGAGGTGGTTCACTATCGCTGTCATTCAATTCCCTGTCATTTCTTCCCTTGGTTAGCAGGAGCTCTTTGAAGGTTTTTGCTTCCGAGAATTGACCTTACACTTTCTCCTCCTTGGTTTGCAGTCCTCTAATACAAGGATAATCTCCATACAGACATTTTCTTTTGATGTCTGCACAAAACAGCTACACAGAAGCCAGGCTATTGTTTCTTCAGAATGCATCATCTTACATTTCTTATTCTTTACTTGGACTTCAGAGCCTCACATTATACTGCTATGTGTCAGCAAAAAAGTGTGCAGATTAGGATGTGCTGCACTGTTTCTTTGCATGAGGTCAGATTCCACTGGATATCAGAAGTGCACTGTCAGGCTACTGCCTATTAAGAGTTCAAGTGAATGTAATCATTGGGATGTTGAGAAAAAAATGTCATGGATGCAGTCAGAAAACACATTCCTTATTGCATTAATTACTGAATTTAAAGAGTTATCTATGAAATTGCCTGTTTCCTAGGCAAAATAAAACTAACTACATAAGGTGAACAGAATCTTTCTCCTAGTTTCTTCTGAGGAAGAAATTCAGCACCTAGGAAAAGCCAGTTCAGTCTAGTCTCTACAAGCAGCGGGTTTTTTGAGGACTGAAATTTATGAATGTTTAAGCAGGAAAATAGCATATAAATTTTAACCTATTTTTCTGCCTAAAAAGGCAGAGGTTTGTGCTCTTCCAGCCTGTAGACACAGTTTGTATAGAGAAGGCACCAGGTTATTATTTATTGCATTTTATAACAATTTATGCTTTATTTCTACTTAATAATAAATGATCAAGTATATATGCAGATGTATTAGAGGTATATGCCTTGCAGATAAGAAACTAGGACCAGTATTCAGTGCATCACCCATGCTTGGGGGATCCATAGTTAGAGCAATGGAAAACCCAAAAGTTCCAGGAGCAGCCAAAAGCAAGCAGAAATATATATTTTTTTGAAACAGAGCTTTAAAAAGGAAGCTCTGTTGACCTGTCTGAAGCTGGAAACAAACCTACTGATTAGACTGGGATTTGGAGAATTTTTCAAAAGTTCTTTCTAATGCACATTTTTCAGATTTATGTATTTTTCAAAGACATTATAGTTGTCATTCCATGAACTGCACTGCAATCTTGAAAATGTATGGACTTTAACTACAGATTGTATTTAGGCTCCTGTTCTTTTTCAGAATGGAGGAGTGGAGGAATGAATGGAGGAAATTCTGATTGCAAACAAATGGTAACAGATTCTCATAAATTCCTACAAGGGATAGACTTCAGTTTTTATTATATGCAGAACTGAGGCAAAACTTTCATTGTGTATCAGCTTGGAATGTTGTACCTTGTCACGCTTCCAGAAATTCACATATGCTAATGTGTGCATATGCATAGTTACTCCAATGTCAACTCCTTCTGGCCCTGTGACAATGTACCTCTGAAGCTATATTTGGTATTTTAGCTGGTGAACATTTGATGCACTCTGTTTCAGTTCCACCCACCTAAAAATTGCAGGAAGATCTAATGTATCAGTCAAGGAAAGCCCCTCTGTAGCACCAAGTAAGAATGATTCAGTTGCAAAATACATTTATTAACATTTTTCTGAATCACCCCTTAACTTGAATGAATGCTCAGCATGATTTACAAGGAAACCATAAACACAATAAAATACAAAATGCCAGATACTTCTGAATCGGGTTTGTTTGCTGATATAAGAAATGTCAAGGCCGAAATGTCTTGTCTACCAACTGCCATTGCTTTTACAGAACACAGCCTTGACAATGATTCAGTTTTTCTGTCAACCTTCCTTGATTGGTATGGACCAAAGAATAGGGTTAGTTATCTATGGCCCTTTGCTTGTCAGAACACTTAGTTTTCCACTCTGATTCTATGTATTGCTGGAAATGGAGTCACTGAATGCATTTCTCTGGTTTCTCTGTTTTGTGCCACCCTTGTCTTCCCACTAGTGATGGAACAGAATCCTTTTTTAAAAAAAAAAATCTGAAGACTGTTATTTGTAGATTGTCTAAGGACTACTCTTGGTTTTCAAGAACTTTTCCACTTGGCAATTGCACTGATTTAACCATTTCTTTCTCGAGCTGAAAAAAATGAAATCTTTGAAGGCAGAGATCCTGAGTTGAAATAAAACAGCACTGTAGTGAATACATGTGAAGCTAAGCTGAAATTGGAAACTTTGCACTGACTCTGTTCTCTGAATCAAGCACTGGGGAGGGGAGGGTGAGGCCAAGTAGCCTATTCTTATTGGCATCCCATAGTGAAACATAATATCTGTTATACAAGTGGACGAGAGTTTAATTTCAATTTGGTTTGGATCAGAATTTGCCTACATTCATAAAGTTCTCCACATCTGGAAAAAAAATAACTTGGGATTTTGAAAAAATCTGAATGGGAGAAACTGAGCATTTATTCATCCATGTCCA